ACCCAGAACAATTAATATTTGGATCATCTTCAAGGTGAAAGAGGAAATCTTGAAGAAGGTCCATTGTCGCCTCTTCAACTTTCCTTCGTGAGCTTCCTTCCTTAGCATGTTCTGGGTGCAGTGATGAAAACAAGTAGTTTGCATCAACTGCACCAATGTCACCTGCATTTTTCACAAAGAGTGGCTTACAAGCTTCGGGGTGGGTTTGGATAATGTCTTTCAAACCATAGGAATCTAACCCATTCAGGAATTCCTTGAGGTAAACAAGCCTCTTGGTCACTAAACTGATTGCTACAGAACTAAGGATCTCTTCAGTGTGAGAAGCCTCAACAGTCCCTGTGTACCCATGCTCAATAATAGTGTCGGTGTGTGCCATTATGTCCTCTTTGATTGCATCCAGTAATTCCCTGTCAGATGTCGTCAGATGCTTTCCACTGTCAAGTTGCTGGAGAGGAACATTTGGATCTGCCATCAAGCCATAGACACTTTCCTCCAGGAAACATGGTGCTGGCCCACCTTGGGCTATACTAGCAGCCACAATCTCTCCACAGACTTTGAAGTTTCCATTATGTACATGGTATGTGGAATCCACTGGCTGCCCATTTGGGAAGATGACAGTGCCAATGTTAGGAAGAGTGATGGTAAAGAACTCCTTTGCCATTGCTCCAGAATCAATTCCTTTTTCTCCACTGAAGTGGACTCTTACAATTTTCTTTGTGCTACCAGTGTTCTTTTTCACTTCTCTGCTCCATATTGATAGTGTCCTGTCTAATGGGGCACCTCTTCTTACTACGATGAAAAAATTACTTGACTCATCTACCTGCCTACCCAAATGGGTTACCACTGAAGATGAATCACTGATTGTCGTGTTTTCTTCCTCATGGGTGATGATATCCTCCACATCATAGCATCTTTGAAGATCAAAAGCTAAGTTTTCATCTTCCTCAAGCTGCTGAAGCTGCTGAACATGTTTAGACTGATCACATTCGTGCTTCTGATCTTGGTCGAGCTGATACTCACATTCAAGCTTCGGAGTCATCTCCATCAGCTGGTCTTGATAAAACTGACTGCATTGAGTGCTTGTTTTGTGATCACTGTTACAGGTTAGGTCAATTTCACATTTCTGGCGTTTATTACATGAACTAGGGGCATCACTGTCATCATCACCAAAGTCAGTCAAATCATGCTCATCAAAGTTACCTTCAGATATTTGAAAGTCACGATCGGGACACAAGAAAAAAGTGATTCTTTTAAAATCTTTCCCTAATTCCTCTTGATATCTGCTCAGTGTGAAGAGCTCTTTCTTTGACCCGGGTAAAAGGAGGGCCTTTTGCCCATCCTCCAATAGTAAATGGTACGGCTGACTTTCATCATAAAGATTGCTGTGGAATGTTTTCCATTTTTCTTCTGCTTGTTGTCGTAGAGTAGCATAACTTGCATTAGGTGACACTCGTAATGGCAATCTTTTACCTCTCTTTGATTTGAGAATTTGATCTTTCTCATTCCACTCCATAAGACCCAAGTGAACCACAACATCTTCATATTTTTTCTCTTCTTTACTAAACTTTGTCACTCGGGATTTCCACTCTTTCCCCTTACTTTTCCTGAAGCTTGCAAATGACTTTACTTTGGTACTAGTAAAATCGCTATCTTCAGAACTTCTTCCTTGTTTCTCCATGCTTGAGTGAATTGCTAAGTAAAAGAAAGGTTCATATATTTTAAAAAAGATCCTTCAACACTACATGTTATATCACTGTACCTAGAAAAGGGGCACTATATTTATTTTTATTTTTTATTTTTATTTGATTTATTTGTTTAAGCAGGTTGAATTTATTGGCAACTATTAAGCTGATGTGGACCTGCTGTTTTCCCACCCAACCCACCCCAGGGGAGGACATCCAGCACACAGTAATCTCGTGCGTGGGAAATTAACGTCTCTTACCCATTACCCTTAAGAGACGGGACCTCCGGCTTTACGTCTTATCCGAGAGACGAAGCAAAGTGGGTAAAGCATCTTGCTTAAGGATACAGCGACATGTCCCTGGTAGGACTTGAACCCGGGCCCTTCGACCCAGAGTCCAGCGCACTTAACCACTGGACCACTGACGCCCCGATAAAATGGATAAGGTAGGATGGGCGAGACAAAGGTGATAGCTACAAAGAGTATTTACTAACTTTTGAGATTATCGATTCTAAATCTTCGTAGGAGTCTTCTAATTCTAATATATTGAACAAGATCGTACGAATTTTTCTTTTAAAGATGAATTTTTGTAGTGTTCGGAGCTTAGTTGGTATCTCATTCCACAGTTTTGCACCGATTCTTGAAAACGATTTTCGTTCAATTTCAAGTTTTGATTTTTTAATGTAAAAGTTGTTGGAGGCTGAAGATCGCGTATTATATGAATGAATTTTTGCTCTGGGGATGAACAAATCCTTCAATTGTGAAGGAATAACATCATTATTTACATCATGCATTTTCTCAGCTAGCAATTTATAATAACAAAAGTGAATAGGTAAAGTCTTTGCACAAAGGAACAGAGGAATGGCGTGATCATACCTGTTAGCGAAACATATGAAACAGAGAGCACGTTTTTGGAGGATCACAAGCTTATTTAATTTAGTTTTGCCAGCTCGTCCCCATGCAATTAAACCGTATCGTAAATAAGGAACAACAAGGCAGTTGTATATACTAAGAAGAGTATGGAAAGGAACAAAATGCCTTATCTTAGACAGTAATCCAATGGTTTTGCTAAGTTTCAATATTATAGAGTCAATATGGTTTTCCATGACAGTTTATAATCGATTAGGACACCGAGATATTTCACATGGTCTTTACATTCCAGGCGAGTTAATGTATTTGTTTGGCTATCGTTAATGTATATTGTGGGAAGAAAAGGAAGGCGGTTTTGGTAAGGGCGAAAAATTACTAAATTAGCTTTTTTGAGATTAAGGGTTAATTTGTTAGATACAAGCCACTGGTGCACATTATTTAGTTCGACATTCATTTCTTTTTCAAGAGTTTTGAGGTCTTTGTGGCTATAAAGAATATTTGTGTCATCAGCAAATAAATAAAATCTCAATTTCTTTGAGCTGCAGCAAATGTCGTTAACATACAGGAGAAAGATTAATGGTCCTAAAACTGAACCTTGAGGAACTCCACAAGTAATAATTGACTTATTCGACGACCTATTTCCAACTACCGTTACTTGCCTTCTCTCATGTAGATAAGATCTGAGCCAATCGTTAATTAGCCCCCGATATCCATAATGAGCTAAAAATAAAACTTGTCTAATTTTTTTAGGTGAAACATTGCAGGTTAGAAACAAGTGAATGCTTGGAAGGTCCTGCTGATCCGATCAACAGTAAAGAAAGATCTTCCAAAAAGGTTAGATTCCCTATAACTGGGACGTCGAAGTTTTCTGCGACCAGAAAAGTGGTTGGAGAGACTGGAAGAGAAGTGTTTTTACGAAGGACCTTAGCACATGGTTCTCAATATGGTATTGGGGTGTTTTGTCTAACTGAGGCAGGAGAACAACAAATTGGTTGGGTCTCTTAAAAGGACCGAGCAATTTTGGATGCTGTTAGAAAGGCATACGACTTGCCAAACTTTATTGCCCAAATTGACAGTGCAAGTGGTAAAAATATTGGAGACAAGTTTACCAAGATAACAGTATTTATAATTTGTGAAGCTATGTGAAATGATTAAATAACCAAGTTATTTTTAATTAATTATGTGGAGAATTTATTGATAGTTTTATGTCAATCGTGTCTCTTTTCTTAAATTAAAATAGTCGCTCAAAGTTACGGCACCTAAAGGCCCCAGAGTAGGCCTACAACACTTCGCCTAAAAACCCGACATTATCCGCTTGCTAACCGAGACAGCAGAAACAAACAAGAAGAGCGGCCTAACAAAGCTATAAACACCTACATTTAGAAGAAAACATTTACACGAATGAGTTTTTACACATTGGATTCAAAAGGATCCAAAATAAGATAAAACTCGAAAGCAAAAGCGGAACGGCTAAAACATGAAAACTACTGTTGACTTAAAATAACATTCAGGACTAATTATCTAACAGAATTTCTTAGATGAGCCATTTCAAAAAGTTTAACGTGGTGTAAAGCCAAGGATGTAAGGATTTCTCTAGTTAAAGACTTGTTTCTCTGATGGAAACGAGTTTCTGCCAAAAGTTATTTAACCAAGGACAGACGAGGGAAGAAGTAAAATATACACAATAGTTTTAGAGCAAATAGTGGTGGTATTGCGAATCAACCCGAAGCTAAATAAGTTTTTCTCACATTTATGTCTTAAATAATCTCAAAGATACATCGATCATTTTCCAGGTATTTCCACTTAAAGCTCAGAAGAGTTTCTTTTAAGAATTTACAAGAATTTTCCCCCTCTTTAATTTGTAGTCTGAGGATGACGATCCCTTCAGGGCAACGTTATGTAAAAGGTGAAGTTATGGAGGTGGTAAAAGTGATGAAAGTTTTGAATAATGTACTTTTTAGTATGATGACTACATTAGCAGATAGTTTCCCATATGTAGCGTATAGTGATGACAGCTCCATTCGTAAAGAAGTCACATGTCAAATTTTCCCTTTTAAGTGGAACATTTGACTCACGGGTAATAGTGACGAGAGACAAGATACCTTTGTACCGTCTATTTTCATTACCATCGTTCATCCACCGTCCCCGCAACCAGAAGTTGATAATCTCTATTCTCCTGTGACCTGAAGTAAATCAGTATTTTTGTGTGTGTTATTTATTTGTTTTATATATTTATGCATTTACTTTTGATTACGTAGATTAAGAGCATGTCTACGAGACAATCGATCTTTCCAAGAGCTCTCACCGCGTTTAATATTTCCACAAAGCAACGAAGCAAATCGAATGTGGTAAATAGTTGATATAATGGCTACTTATCTAACAAATCATATCAAGCCAAAAGTTGCAACTGAGGCACCTTAGAGAGAAGTATGTACTATCATGTTTCTTCCTAGATTTCTTTTGTCATAAATTTCGACTACAAACGCCTCTGATATTCATCATCAACTGTTGCGTTTCTTCGAGAATAATCCAAATATGGCTGCGAAAAAAATTCTCAAGAAGGGCTCAACCTGCTCTATTCAAAGACTCTCTCCTCCTTCATGTTTAAATGATACTTTCTGGAAATTTTTTCTAAATTTCAAGCTATTAAGTCAACGAAACAAACATGTGGCTTACGGAAATTTTATGATACAGACTAAAAAGCGGGAGTTAGATGTTAATTTCACGTCAGCACGGGTTATGAAATCAGCTTCCCCAAAATTTTATTACTGATTTTGGCTTTCATTGCCCATGTAGGAATAATCATCAGAAGTGGTTGGTCATCGGAGATATTGGGCCTTAAAATACCCTTATTTTTGGAATTTGTTAAAACCAAAAAAAGTCATCTTTACTGGGAAAGGTAAGGGAATAAATTAAGTGAAAAAGTTAAAACAATTCAATTTTCTTAAAGTCTGATAGATACAAAACACAATCCATTTGATTGAATTTGCAGATGGATTTTCGGTTTGTCACAGCAACAATGAAAAGTTATCTAATTAATTATGGAAACAATCCAGGAAATGGGGGGTTTTCCCAAGGGGACCCTTTTTTTACCCAGGAAATTAGATATTTTGACCTATTACTTTCATAAATTTGTTAACTCATAATAATTAGCAGTTGTGCCAAGTTTGAGCCAAATTGGTGACTTGAGGTTTATCGCTCCTGCCCGGTTCTGCCCGGTTTTCTCATGGACACGCTCTTAATAACTATGTTCCTAGTAACTGGTTGATAGGGGCGGATGGGAAAATATTTGGCTGGTGATCATGGTGCACGAACCGAGCATCGTTTTTTCTTAAGTTTTTCTTCCTTTTTCGATTAACTCATAGCGTGCTGGGCTCTGCGGCTTTTTCTGACCTGAGTCATGCCTTTTATTTGAAACGTTTTCATATAGCAATGTATACTTATTACGTAGCAAAGGTTAATTATAGCTGTGGGTAACTTGATATCTGCAAAATGATGAATAAATTGGCAAAATAGGAAAAAGAGCTCGTGCAGGGAACTTTGAGAGATTCATCTAGCTAAAAAGAAAATACATCATGGTTGTCGTAAATAATTTTAACGAGACACATGACATGCCTTGTTTGTTCTGTATAGGCAATATTTTATTCTGAACGTCAACGAAAGATTCTGCAAGACAAAAGTTATCTTTTTTTTTTTAAACAGATGCAATGTTACACCATTGTCTGGGTTTTTCAAACCTAACCCTAACTTTAAGCTTAAAAAGAGTTATTAATTTTGATTTACCGTTGACTTTTGTAAATTTCTTTAGACGAATGAAAGAAAGGACCTGTAATAAGATGAAGTACAAAATTGCGAAGGTATTAATCATATTTTTGAGCTATGTTTGTATAAATACGCACCTAAGTCTGATGATGTATACGTAGATGCTTTGATGCGCATACTGCTCAGGGTAAGTACAATTAGTTTAAAACTGACAAAGAGCAGTTACTCCGCAAATGTCACTCCATGCTGGCTAAATTGGATCAGGTAGGATCAGCGCACGAGCTATGTTTTCATATAATTAATACTTTGAATGTAATATATACCTTCGCACGTCAATCCGTCTCCATGGTATTGTGGTTTGCATGTACATTTGTACGATCCCTTGGTATAGTCCATTTTACAGTTGCATGCTTGGTTGTCAAGCGTTTGCATGGGAGTGAGGCTAAGGGTGACCTTGTTATGATACAGATGTTGCTGCTTTTCAAATGTAAATTACTTCGTTATCATGCTAAATAGATGCTGGTCTCTATCACAACAAGGTCACCTTCAGCCTCACTCCAAATCAAAGGCTTGGCAACCAAGCGCAGAACTGTAAAATGACCTATTGTTACGCACAGCATCAACACTGCAGCTGTGTGATCCCTCAACACACTCATCAATATCTAAAAGGAAATTTCCCTGTTGTATTCATCAATAACATATATGAAAGCATTCAACTTAGGGAGAGATGGAACCTCTTCGGTTGCCGTTGTGTTTTATAACTTTGTGGAGGGGGTCAGCTATATTACATATATTGTTTTGGCATTCTTACACCTCGAATTCAGCAGATGTATTGATCATAGCTATAGTGAGTAGCCTTTGAATTTCAAAAAGTCTCGTTACACGAAGAAAATGGAAGGCCTGTGACGAGCAGAATAACAATGGTAATTTGAGTATAAATGAGGCACATTTGCATAAGTTGTAAATCTGTATTATATTTATATGAATTCTTGTAAAGTAAGGCTGGTGACCTGAGGAGCTCACCAGTCATGCTTAGTGGAAGATAGTCGTGTTTCGACCGCATGGTAGGAAATATCAGATGGAATTTGGATCACCATTAAACATGTATAATTTTCAGGGCTGCAGTCTTTCAACGCAGTTCGTTCCAACTCTTTTTTTGGCTGCAAAATGTCTGCTTTGAAGCCTCGTCGATTCAACATTATTCCGCCGGTGTATATTTACGCCAATCTTTCGCACCTAAGTCCCTATCCACTGGTATTTTCTTGAAAGTTGATCTACTATGGGGGAGTGTTTTGATGTTGTCATAGCAGAGCGAACAATATATCTCAACTTAAAGTTGGACCGTAAGCTACTTGTTAATGTTTCATTCTGCGCCGTTGAAATGTACATCAATCTTAATAGACACATTAGCCGCTATTTAGCTTGAAAATGTGTTCAAATATTTTTTCTTGGGAAAGAATTTAACTCCGTGGGCAATTTTCCAAGCTCAGTTTTGAAGCAAATGGAGGCCATCGTTTTGATTATGGGCCCACAGTTGCTTGTACTGATTTGTAACTTTTTACCAACTATTTGACTAGGTTTACCTTCGTCACAGTTTTGACCTTTAAATCCAGAAGTATACAAACAGCGATATTCTTTGTCGGTAAAGCAGCTTTGACAAGAGGCGTTATTCTTGCAGAAGTTTTGAACGCAAGCGCTCTGAAGCCGTAAAGAGAAAAATTAAAAACCGCTATAATATTAGTTTTTCCGGTTGAACCATTGAATTACGCCCAAGTTTGTCTCTCATTTTAAACCGGGAGCAAATCAAAGAATCTCATCAGAAACTGATAGGTTGCTAACTCGATATACATGTAGAGAATAAGTCAGAGATGATATCTGTAGTAATAAATATGATAAAAATGGTTAGAGAGTTTCTGTGAGGGGAAAGTAATGAAAAAGCGATGTACATAACGCTTTCAATATGTCACGTACAGAAGGTATACAGTTGGTGCTTTATTACAAATCTTTCTGAAGGATGGTCAAACATCTTACCTTCAACAGGTTTTTTTTTATTTCACTGCCTGACCTAAGGTCCTCTAGAAGCTTCTAGAGCTTCGTTTGTCTTAATGTTATGCATGGAACAGAAGCTTATGACCTAGCAGCGTCTTAATTCCCCTATATTGTCTAAGACAAGCTGGGGTTTACTAGCCGGCCGATCAGAAGTAAGGGTACAATATAAAAACAATTGAGTTCAATTCCGCACTTAAATATGGCGATCGGTGATAGTGCGGTAAATGCGGATGAATCAAGAGGGTGGTTTTGACGGTGTTGAATCCCTGATGAAAGGGACTTCCACAAGAAGATAAGCTTTTGAGTTTCATCGAGACGAAAGGATATTTCGACTTTTCTATTCGTGTTTTTTCATGACAGTAATAAGATGAAAAATATGATCAGCGTACCTACGATTTACTTTGAATCTTCTTGATTCGAAAAAAGTTGTGAACAGAATGTTATGCGATTTTGAAATTCCATGATGAGTCATTGACCAGTTTTATCGAAGGAAACATTTTAATCAATTTCATTTACTTCTGAAAGATATTTTTCTTGTTTAGCCAATGCTACAAAATTGTCATTGTTACTATTATATTACTAATGAATACTGCTAATTTTTCGCCCTTGTGTGACGTATCTTTTAATAAAGTGACTCTTTACGAAAAGTTTTGAGCATTATTCATAAGGAGGCTGGCTCTTTATAATCAGGGCACCATCATTTGGATACTAATTACATTTAAGAATGCATTCATGATTGCCGGTAATCATTAGTAAACTGTGAAATCATGGAAGGGACAGCAAGCTGAAACAGATGAAGACTGAGACAAAAAAAAAATATTATTAACTGTGTTACAGCGAAGCTCTAGGAAAAGTTTTTAGAATTATACATAAAGATTATTCTTTCTTATCAGGACGTCATCTATTGGATGATAATTAATCTAAGAATGCTTACATTAATGCAACTAATTACAGTGAAATAGGAAAGGAGGTCAAGCTGAAACAGTGGATTGCTGTGCTTAAGTAGGCTGAGATAAAAAGTTATTGACTTTGTGTTGAAGAAAATTCTAAAAGATTCCTTACACAGAGAACAGAACGAGTCAAAGAGAGAAAAAAATTAAGTACTTGACGATGAGGAGTCAAAGGGGAAGTCGTTTACTCATTTTAAACTGAATGCTGTTAAGAAAGATTATCTCACAAGGATGTGTGATGGGTAAAGAGGGCGAAGGAAGAGAAGCTTCCTCTGACAACTTTCACAAGCTTCTAAAGAAAGGAAAGATTACAAAAGATTATTGAAGGATCAACACTGCATGGAATTCTATTAGTTTTTCCCCTTTTTACACGAAATGCTGCACTGTTAATCATTTATACGTATTTCATTGGTCTAATGTATCTAAGTGGACTAGAGTAGGTATAAGCTACTATCCATTCAATTACCTGAAGGGCGTTTGTTCTCCTATCCCCCGTCTCACCCCTTCCCCACTCCCAGAAACAACAAGGCGTTTTTATCGGTCGGAAATGATTGAAATTTTTTTTAGGGGGGGGGGGGGTGTTATCAAGATAAAACAAAAATAGTTCAGACTCGGTGACTAATTTCTTATTGAGACCTCTTTTGCTACAACTAAATATTTACAAGTCATTTAGAGTTGGTTTCGTGTCCATTTCTTTAGGATTAGATGGATTTCCTTGTCACTGAACCAAGATGTACCCCATGGCTTTGATGTGTTTATCTCCATTATCGGGAGAGTGCATTGCTTCGTTCCCACACGTGTTGGAATGGTCTCCATACCCACCTGTGCCAAAGCCAATGCTGGAATCACACCGGCTGCAATCGTTTTCGTTGTTAGCAATGATACCGATTCTTGCTTTTGAATTATAAATTCTCCCCGAAACAGCATTGAACCCTTCCTTGTTACAATTCAACTGTAAGGATGCCTCGGAGCCAATCAGCAACTTCCACGTGTCACGACCCAGTGACGTGTCACGATATTGCCCGTCAGCGATCAGTGAGTGCAAAGAGCTGGCTTGCTTTTTGATAAGAATGAACCTGGACAGATTACCGATATTCATCCCTAGACAGATCTTGGAGAAGGATGTGTTCCAGTAGGTCGGTAGCTTGGTCTCTTGAAAGTCAAAACCAGTCCCCCCTCCTTGAGGATTGAAATCATCCAGGTTACTCCAGAGTTGCGAATCAAAGTGGAAGGTTGACTATGTAGATGGAAAAGTTGAAATTAGTTGAATGATGATAGAATTCGTATGCAGATAACAATTAAAACAAGAAGAAAGAGCGAATAAGACAGACGAGATACCTTTGTGCCGTCCATTTTCATAACCATCGTCCATCCGCCGCCCCTGTAGCCCTCAAGGTTAGTCATGTGACAGTAAACCATGACCTTTCCATGATCCACCTGAAGTAAATAGGCTCTGTTTTCCTGTGAACTGAAATAAATTCGTATTTATATACGTGTTAACTACTTGTTTCATATATCTATTGATTTCGATTTGATTACGTGGAGTAATAAATATGTTCTAATTAACTGATCAGTAGGGCCGAAAATATTCGGCTCGAGATCATGACGTACGGACCGAGCTTGCTCTTTCTTTTTCTTCATTTCTTCAAGTGGCTCACAGTGCGCAGGGACGTGCGGCATTTTTCCAGCCAGAGTTATACGGAGATTTTATTTCGAATGCTTTCACACGGTGGGTTTACTTATTACACAACAAGGCTCTTCAAAGTCTCGTAGGTAGACCTGATACTTCAGAACTGACGAACATATTGGCAAAATAAGTGACTTTCCGCTCATAGTGGCAACTTTCGTGATATTTTGCAATAAAAAAATGATCTTTCATTGTAAAAACAGATGTAAAGTTAAACAACCACCCTCCTATGACGACAACTACTTTAAAATGACTAGTTTTCTCTTTGCTTAAGGGACCTTGGTTCTACTGTACTGGTGTATTTCTACCTTTACATGTACACCTGGAGACTAACCAACCTATAAAAAAATTATTAATAATGATGTACCTTTCACTTTTATAAATTTCTGCACACGATTGAAACGAACCTAAAATAAGATAAAGTACACAATTAGAAAGGTATTAAGCCTATTGTTGAGGTATATTTCTATGAATACGCACCCTAATTTGTTAATGCTCATGCCTTTAACAAGTTTATTAAAATATGTAACATGAATTTTATTGAGTAAATAGATAAAATTTGGACAAAACGAAGCAAGGCGAAAAAGGAAAACTTCCTGGTGTGTAGTGAATGAAAAAGCAGGCAAAATCTCGGAGTAGTATTCTCACAGTACAGCCATCGCTCTTGGTTGTGAGGACATTTGTGATTGATAACCTCCATGTTGGATCAATTGGATCAGCACTCAATCTATGTTATCACATAACTTATGCTATAAAACTTTTACTTTCGCACGTCAATCCCACTCCATGGTATCCTGGTTTGCATGTACATCTGTAAGACTCCCTGGTATTGTTACATGCAGCATCAGCACTGCAGCTGAGTAATCCTATAGCACACTCATCAATATCTAAAAATAATTTTCTTTTAATTTCTTTTTTTATCAATAACATATGTAATAGTTTCCAAAGTGGGGAGAGATGAAACCTTTTCAGTCGTCGTTGTGTTTCATTGCTTTGTGCGAGGGGTCCACATTCATGATAGTATAGGTTTTTCTTTTTTAAATTTTCATCGGCCCCTTTCATCCCCGGGATGTACAAGTCTACCCTAAACATGTTTACTCATACTTTGATAAATCTCACCTTCACAAGTCAATCCATCTCCATGGTATCCAGGTTTACATGTACATTTGTAAGATCTCTTGGTATTGTCACACACAGCATCAGCACTGCAGCTGTGTGATCCTTCAGCACACTCATCAAAATCTGAAAATAATTTTCTTTGTTTTATTCATTAATGACATATGTGCTAGTTTACAAAAGTGGGGAGAGATGGAACCTCTTCAGTTATTGCTGTTTCATTGCTTTGTGGAAAGGGTTCAAATTCATGATCGTCTTGGTTTTTTTTTTTGTTAATATTTTTTCTTTTTATTTTCATTAGCCCCTTTCATCTCTGAGATATACAAGTCCACCCTTAGCTTGTTTATTTATACTTTGAAAATATTACTTTCACACGTCAATCCATCTCCATGGTATCCAGGTTTACATGTACATTTGTAAGAATGTATTGGTAACACACAGCTTCAGCACTGCAGCTGTGTGATCCTTCAGCACACTCATCAAAATCTGAAAAGAATTCTCTTTGTTTTCACGTTGTGTTTTATACCACTTTTTTGTCATTCTTTAACCTCGACTGAAACATAACTATCAATGATGACCTGCCTTTGAATATCGAAAATTTTCTTTACAGGAAAGAAAAGAAAGACCCATAATGAGGAGAATGACGAAAGCAATTTGCTTGTAAATGAGGCATAGTTTTATGAATTAATGAATTAGTATTACATTTGCGTCAAATAATCGGCTAAATAGAAACCTTTCTATTTATGCTGGTTGCCAGAAGAACTTTGACAGTCATGCTTACTAGATGAAAGCCATGTTTGGATCCCACGGTTTCAAAGAATCGATGGAATTTGGAGCACTATTAAATATGTGTAAAGTCAATATTTTCAAGGCTGAAGTTATTCAAAGGAAATTGGAATGACCCTTTTCTTGCAGCGCAGTTCGTATTAACCCCTATTTTTTGCTGCAAAATGTCTGCTTTGAAACTTCGTCAATTCAACATTTTCCCGATGGCGTGTATATGCTTCAATTTTCGCACATAAGTTCCCTCTGCGGTGGCATTCTCCTGAAAGTTTATTCAGTTTGGAAGAGGTTTTTCGCACTTGTCATAGCGTACGAAACAAATATATCTCAATTTAACGGTGGACCGTAATCTGCTTGTAGGTGTTCTATTTTGCGTTATGCAAATTGATATTGACGTTGATAGCCTCAGTAGCCGCCATTTAGCTTGAAAATACGTTCAAATATATTTCTTAGACATGATTTTATGTCTTTGGGCAATTGTCCGAGCTTATTCTTGGGACAAATGGAAGCCATCGTCTATGTTAAGGTACCACAAGTGCCAGTAACAATTTTTCAATTTTTGACCAACTATTGACGAGGTTTACCTTCGTCACAGTTTTGACCTTTGAATCCAGCAGTACACAAACAGCGATATCCTTTGTCAGTAAAACCACTTTGACAAGTGGCGTTATTCTTGCAGAGATTTCGAACACATGCGCTCTAAAGTAGAAAGAACAGAAAATATAATTTTTTTATACATTATACGGTAAAATTTCATTTTTTCCGTTAAACCATCAAATTATCTATTGAAGTTTGTCTCTCATTTTAAACTAGAAGAAAATCAAAATAACTTATCAGGAACTGATGGGTTGCTAACTTGATATGTATATGAACATTGAGAGAAAAAGCCAGAAATGATAATTGTGCTAATAGATATAACAGAATATAAATATAATCAGTATCGTAAATGTTTTCCTAAAACAGTGTTAATTGTATAAAATAGCGCCTACCTCAGCTGCACGATAAAAATAATTGTCTTCCTTCTTCAGATCGTGTTCGTGTCCTTCGTGAGTAACATTGTTCAATTCACATTTGTACTGCCGGTTTCTTCCCACGCGGTTATCAAGATTAATGCTGACGCAGTCAGGTTCCACGTAACACATATTTTCACAAAACTCCTTTACCATCACCTCAGCGATGCGAATCACGTGGTTTATGAGGCGTTTGCCGTTAAATGCTTTTTCAGGTCTGAACTCCAAAGTACGGCATTGATCTGCTTCAGAGAAGCCTTGAAATAACATCAAAGAATCAAATGAATCAAAATACAATATTTGTGATAGAAGTTTTTTTTTTTTCCTTTTTTGTCTAATTTGCATTGATCTACACTGCCAACAGCTTGTGCAAGAAATACCCATCCTGTTATTATTAATTTCCTAAGAGAAACGCACATCTTTAACTATGAAGTCTACGATAAAACATGACGCGATCTTATCCCAATAATTCATTGTTTAAACCGAGAATATATATTTAACAATTATTCCACGAGCGCGCGTTGGATATGAGATGATAGATAGCCAACGAGGCGCGTAGCGCCGAGTTGGCTATAACCATCCCATATCCAACAAGCGC